CCCCCCCCCCGGGGCGCCCGCCCATTGGCCCCTGCGCGCAAGATGGCGGTGCCGGCCAAGGACCCCGTCTCCAGGGCAACCGGGCGGTCCGCCGCGCCTGTAGCCGGCGCGCACGAGGGCCCGGCCTCCCCGCGCGCAGTGGGCGCGGTGCTGCGGGGAGCGCTGAGTCCCAGCCGAGCGTTGCCTTGGAAACCCGTAAATGGGGAACCAGCAGATGGCGCAATGGCTACGTCGCTGGACTCACGTAGTCGACCGCGGTTCGGATCCCGAACCGACCCGGAAAACGCTGCAACGGAGCCGAGACTGCGGCCGGTGGTTCGAGGCCTCTCTCGTGGCAGAATCTCAAAGCACGTAGATATGGACGTAGGCGCCCGCAGGTGGGTAACGGTCGGAGTCCGGGACCCCGCACGTGCCCGAAATCCCGGGAGAAGGGCTGCCTCGCTGTCTCTGTCTCTGTCCAGCGAGCGCACACGCCTAAGGCGAAACCCTCTATTAGGAAATAACGGGAGCACGCAGCCGGCCCGGGCGCGCTTCCTTCCCTCTGGGCTCACCCCTAACTTGAGGGTGTACTTCCGAGGAGTAGAGGCATTCCGTTACCAGGAACATCTGACAGCCGAGTTCACAGTTGGCTTGTCCCAAAACGGCCCTTCCTGGCCCATGTCCGACCTGAGGCCCCTTACCTTGCACTCCTGTTGTCTGTCCATTTGGGTTCTTTGGTTGTTTTTTAGGGGAGATTTTTGCTCTAGGGCACTTGTGCTCCCGAGATAGAGGGTAGGGAAGAAACCCGCCCTCTCCCCTTCCCTCCCCATTCTCGGTATTTTGGGCACACGCGCCCAGCGGGAGTTTCAAGCCACCAGGCCGGGATATGAACCATGGCCAGCTATGTGGGAGTCCGTGGACGTAACCACTATGCCACCCGCTGCCTACTGCCCCCCACCCCCTTTAATTTCTTATCTGGAAGGATTTCTCTTCCCTCCTTTGTCCTTTTTTTTTTTTTTTTTTTTTTTTTTTTTTTGCTATAGGCACTTGTGCTCTCCAGAGAAAGAGGTAGGCCAGCCCCCGGTCATGAGCGTGCTGCAGTTCCTTCTCCATTCTCCTTGGGATTCGGGGCACCTGCCGGCCGCAGGCTGCAGGGAGTGGCAGAGCTAGTTGAGAGCAGCAGTAGGGAGAGGCCTGGCTGGATCCTGCCTCTGCTGACACCCAGGACGGCAGGAGGGAACCAGCAGGGCTGGCACGAGGGTGGTGAAACTGCAGGGCCCAGCCAGGCCAAATGCCTGAGTGAGGGCCAGGAGGGACTCTGGTGCTCACTGCCTCAGCCTGGCCCATGGGAGGGGAGCTGGGAGCTGGCAAGTGGCAAGCAACTAAGCAACTAGAGCCATCAAGAGGAAGTGGACAGGGTGGGGGGCTTATTTCTCCAAGTTTTAAGAAGAATTATTTACTTGGTTGTGTTTATTTATTTTTGCTATAGGGCACATGTGCTCACCACAGAGAGAGAGCGAGAGAGAGAGAGAGAGAGAAAGCAAGCAGCCAGGTCCAGGACTCCAGCTGTGTTCAGCCATGTGGGAGTCCAGCGCCCTGACCACCTCACCACTTGCCACCCCTAGGCATTTCTGTGATTAGGAACAGGATGGACTGGACAGGTGGGAAGGCATGGTGTTGTGAGTAAGAGGATACCCTTCTGTTGATCTACAGATACCATGTCATCCCTGTCAAAACTCCAACTGTTGTTTTTTGTTTCTTTTTTGCACAAATAAACAAACAGATCCTACTATCCAGAAGGAGATGGAAGGGAACAAGATAGCCAAAACAATGTTGAAGAAAAGACAAATCCAAGGACTCGCACCTCCCAATTTCAAAATTCTCCATGAAACAGTAAGCAGCACAACATAGTACTGCTCTCCCGAAAAGCGTTTAGAGGAACGGGTGGAATTGACCATCCAGGAGTGAACCCACACCTTCAGGGTGCCAAGCCTGTTAACTGAGGACAGGATCGTTTTCAATCAGTCAAACTAGGACGACTGCAAAAGAATGAAGTTGAATCTCTACCTCACACCGTATGCAAAACAAATTTTAAATGCATCCGAGACCTAACATAAGTGCCCAAAACATAAATTTTAAGGACCAGCTGATGGCATGGTGGTTAGGTGGGCAGATCCTGTTCAAGCCCCAGACCAGGCAGCTTAAAAAACACTGGGTGTTGGAGCCAGTAGGTGATATCAGGTTAAGACACTGGACTCCCACATGGCCCATGACAGTTCAAGCCCCAGACCAAGTGGCTTGAAAAATCACGCTAGGCATGCAGGTGTGCACGTATGCCCAAAATCCCGGCAGAAGAATGGAGAAGGGATTGCGGCATGGCCATCCCCCTGGCTAGTGCACACGCCCTGTAGCAAATATTTTTCTCTATAAAAAGAAACGAAAAGCACACCGGGGATCTGTGAGTACATGCCCAAACCCTCTAGAGAAGACTGTAGGAGGGACTGTGATGAGTCATCCCCCCGAGGGTGTTTCTCTCTCTCTCTTTCTCTGCGTCTCTGTCTCTTTTTGGACAGTGCACACACTGTGTAGCAAAAACAAAAATAAATAAATAAATTACATCTTTGGCCCAGCCCTATAGTCTAATGGTTAAAGGAAACTGCATCCCATTTGAATCCCAGCGCCAGTGGCTTAAAAACGTGCATTGAGGGACCAGCAGTTAGCATAATGGCTATGTCCTTGGACTCCCACGTAGTCGACCGCGGTTCAAGTCCCGGACCCGGTGGCTTAAACTCACACCAGGCGCGTGTGTATGTGTGCCCAAGATCCTGAGAGGAGAATGGAGGAGAAGGGATTGAGGCTTGGCCATCCCCCCTGGGGGGGGTGATTTCTCGTTTTCTGTCTCTCTCTGTCTTTCTGGCGAGTGCACGCGCCCTATAGCAAAAACCTCTCCCCCCCAAAAAAAGTGCTTTGAGTGTGTGTGTGTGTCTAAACCCCCCCAGAATGGAGAGATCGAGAGGGGTGTGGTGTGGTCACAGCCAACTGCGAGGTCTTTCTGTCTCTCTCTGACAAGTACATGTGCTCTCTGATAATTTGATTTTTTGTTTGTTTTTGAGATCGTTTTGCTATAGGGCACGTGCACTTGCCAGAGAGAGGGAGAGAAACAGACAGAAAGCAAGAAATCACCCCCCAAGGAGGATGTCCACTCTGCAGTCCCTTCTCCTCCATTCTCCTCTCGGGATTTCAGGCCTGCGTGCACATGTGCCTGGTGTGAGTTTCCAGCTGCTGGGTCCAGATCTTGACTCACAGGTGGCCACATGGGAATCCAGCACCTTAACCACTATGCCACCTCCCTCTGGCCCCCAACCCATCTGGCAATTTGAGAAGAAGAAATAAGGTGGCGTGGTGGTTCAGGGTGCTGGGCTCCCACGTGACTGACCGCAGTTCAAGTCCCAGACCTGTCAGCTTGCTTTCTCACTTTCTCTCTCTCTTTGATCAAAATAAAGGAAATAGATAAAGTTAAATAATTCTTTAAAAAAGGAAAAGAGAAATAAAAGAAAGAATTAACACTTTCATCTGTGAAAGAACACCATCAAAAAAATGAAAAGAGCCCACAGAATCAAAGAGAATTTTCAGAAATTTTGGGGGCCGGCAGGTGGCGTGGTGGTTGAGGGTGCTGGACTCCCACATGGCCGACTGCGGTTCCAGT